TTCCACAACAAACTCCAAGAATTTGCCTTTTCTAAATCTGCCCTACAAATAATACATAAACATGTTCTTGTGAAAGAGAAAAGGAATAGCAACTACCAAAACCAAAGGCAAATGTGCAGAACATCCCACTGAAAGGCTAACAGAAGAATCAAAGAACCCATTGCTAAAATGACAGGATCAAACTGCCACCTATTCATATTAACATTGAACGTAAATGGCTTAAGCTCATCAATCAAATGCCATGGGTTAGAGTACTGGATTTAAAAAAATCAAGCTCTCTGCTGCTTACAGGAAACATATCTCACCAACAAAGATCAGAAGAAACTAAAAATGAAGGGAATAGAAGATATTCCAAGTGAATGGTCTCAACTAGAGACCATTATGCTCAGTGAAATAAGTCAATCCTAAAAAGACTAATACTATACGTTCTCCCTAATGTAAGGAAACCATCATACAAATTGGAATGTATAGTGATGGAGTAATAGAGACTAGCATATCCAGATGTGAAGGCACAATGCAACATGCATCCCTACTTCCAAATCAAAGATGGACTCCCAGTGAAACTGTTGGATGTATCTAGACAATGGGATGATGGACTGTCTGACATTGTACCAGCAATGTTGGGTCACAAATAACAGACCAATGGATTATAACTCCTTATGAAGGACTACACTATTGTAACAATATGGGGAAAATCCGCTGGGGATGGGAATTGGCAGGGGGAAACCCCAGACTGTAGAATTGTATTATAAAATTCAAAATAAATATTTTAAGAAAAGAAAAAGAAGTATAGCTTCTTCCTGCACACAGATTTAATGTCTCTTCCACTTGGGGAACTGTGTGTTATATCAGGGCTGCATGCCCCTTCAGCCTTATGTTGTTGCAGTCTTCAACCCTCCATGGCTGCTCCTCGATCCCAGTTGTCACCTGTATTCTTTCACAGCCAGGCTAATGGGATCATATTCAACATTCGTGCCTCTGGCTGACCATGGCCACATCCATATGAGTGCCCTCCGTATGGCCACCCTGGGCTGTGGCACACAGATTGGGGATAGACCAGCACAAGCTCCAAGGGCATGCCTCTGTCACTGTGACAGCCAGTGACCCTCAGAAAACTCACCTTTTGGGCTCACACCCTTGTGTGCGGTGTGGCCAGATGCAGTGATTCAGGTGTAACTGAGTGAACAGAGATGCGTCCATGGTGTGCTGGGTGGAGAGGAAGCACTTGATTCCTGAGAATTGATTCATTCAGCCGAAAGTCCCACTTCCTGGTGATACCAAGGCACAGCAGGCCTGGTGTTGGGGGCTGGGAAGGGGCTAAAGTCAGTGAGGCTACAATCTTGGCCCCTCGAGGGTTCCCAGTCTACCGAGAGGCAGGCAAGTCCACTCACCTGCTAACGACAAGGACCTTTTCACTCCCCTAAAAGGGCATTAGTTCTGATTCAAGCAGAGGCAAGAGCTTGAGGAGAGATGGACAAGCTTTGACCAAGGAGGGGAATTATGATGATCAGTTCAGTGAAGGGTTTCAGGTAAAAGGAGCTGCACACATCACATTCAAGCACAGTGCAAACGCAGCTGGTGGTACAGGTACAGTGCAGAGACTGGTGAGGCTCAGGGGACAGGTAAGAGAGGACTTCGAACGCCAAGCTGGGCAGGTATCTAAGTCTTATGCCCTTGGGACCTGCAGGCCATTTTAGTGAAGTAGGCCTTACCTGGGAGGAGGCCACAGAAGGTAGGTGAGCTGGTGGGAGGGCGTTAGAGGTGCCTTATGTCACCCTAGACAGGGGAAACCCTGTCAAGTGGGGATACTAGGAAGGATGATGCTGGTATTGAAGAGGAATGGGAGTTCACAAGACAAAAGAAGGCAGAGGGAACAGCACGAGCAAGGCCCGAAACTAGGAGTCAGACTGATGCAAGGGCCTGCAAAGGATTCTGGGTAATGGGACACCCCAGTGGGGATTGGGGGGGAGATAGATGCAGTTGGAGGACACTGGGCCAGCAAGGTGAATGGCTGGCTGTCCAGAGACATGGCTTTGAGCCGCACCCATTTCAGTTCCATTGACCCCTCCAGATCCACTCTTCCCAGTCCCTATCCTGCTTTCCTTGCTGGAAGAACAGCAGCCAGCCTTCCTTCCTTCCTTCCTTCCTTCCTTCCTTCCTTCCTTCCTTCCTTCCTTCCTTCCTCTTCTAGCTGAGCTCAAGCAGCAGCACACTTGGCAGGAGACAGAAAGAAGGAGGAGAATGAGGTGGGGATGCTGGTTCTGGGCTTCGATGGCCCTTGGCCAGCCTTGACCCTCACACACAGCTCTCTTTTCTGGTGCCCATGACCTCTGCCTCCACTCATCCTCCCAGGCCTCAGGTGCTCTCAGCCCCAAGTTACTGTGCCAGCTGCAGTAACAACCTGTGCCCTACACTCACCTCTGCAAGCTGGCCCTTTAGTGAACTTTCTCACATTTTTCCCTGGCTCCTGCCAGCACCTCAAGGGTCCCAGTCTAAGCCTAGGGGCAGAGGAGGGCTACTGTGAGCTGCAAGGACGTAATATCAAGGTCAGATCTCAGTGTTAGGTGCTCACCATGGCTGCACAGGAGGCAGCAAAACCATACAAGATGGAGTTCCCAAGCAGACATGTGAGGCTGAGGTGGGACCCTCAGGGTATGACTTGATTTTGTTATGGTCAGTGGTCAGTGGATGCATTCCAAGGTAACAGTCTGATGATGCATGTGCCAGGCAGGGAAGAGGGCTAGGAGGCTCAACTGTGGGATTGCAGTCTAAAAATTGAGGTCAGCTACCTGTGAAGATGGTCCAAGCGTCTTCCATGTGTCCCTGCTTCTGAGGATGTGACATTGCTGCTCCACCCAGAGGTGGCCAGCTTTGGCCAATAGAATGCAATGAAAGCGACATTATGTGTGCTGTGCAGACTAGAACTGGAGGGGTTTCTGGCAGCCTCAGCTGTCATCCTGTGGGAATCTGGCTACCCTTGGCTACTAAGAGCCCAGTCAGGAGACACACAAGACAGACAAGCAGTCTGCCCACCTGCCCCATCTCTTGGCAGTGACAGGCTGTATGCAGTTGCAGGAGAACCCGTGCCAGGCCTGAAGAGCTGTATGCACCAATGACTCTTCATGGTCTTCATGCAGCCGCAGACATGCACCAAGAGCCCTTACTTACTAATCTCTTCTGAGGAACTTCCTGGCAGCCCTGTCTGCAAGTCACTTCCTCCAGGTCTTCCCCATGGGCTGGAAACTTTCACCATCTTCCCTGAACGTCACTTCATTCCCACTCATGTGCTGACCTTTGTGGCACCCTGCCAGGAAGCAAGCCCCTGAGCATGCTCCTATCACCTGACAACTGCCACGTACATCCACCACACTGCACCGCAGTTTCTTATCTCAGGACCTGTCACATGTGACCCTATACCCAGAAATTGCAACCCTGATTTCTTAGATGATGACATGGAAGTTTGGTAGTGACGTGGCTGGTCCAGGGTCGCTCAAAACCAGGACCAGGGCTTGAGGTCAGATTTACAGGTGTCTGTCCCCTGTCATGTAGCAGTTATTGTGTAATCTGCTCCTGTTGGGGAAGGATTCACCATCTTCTCCTTCTGGAGGTGGTTACAAGTCCTGGTTCCAGCCAGCCAGCCACTTTGCCCACACCCTGGATGACACGGGTCCCTTAAGCAGGAATCCACAACCTTCTGGCCAGAGCATGGGTGCCCATCTTGCCGTGCCTGTGGATGCGCAGTCCTCACTCAATGCTGGCAGTCCTCCCTGTGGCACTCTGCCCTAGACTTCTCATGACTCAGCAGGTGGGGTCGGGGCTGCAATGTGACGAATCAGGAAGGAAGAGCCTCTGTGGCCTGACTCACGATAGCAGAGGTGGGCTCAGGGTCAGTGTCAAGGTCTTCGCCAGCCCTGTTGCTGACTGGGGTTTAGGAAGGAAGTAAAAAGGGCTAATATGGAATCCTTGCAGGTTTTGATCTGAAATTTATGAAGCACAATCCCCTCCCCCCCTTTTAAAAACTTTATGAAGATTTATTCAGTAATTGGAAAGGCAGAGAAAGATCTTTAATTGTTGACTCAATTCTCAAATGGCTAAGCAGCTGGGGCTGAGCCAGGCTGAAGCCAGGGGCCAGGAGCCAAGAACTCCATCCCAGTCTCCCACGTAAGTGGTAGGAACTCAAGTGCTTAGGCTATCTTCCACTGTTTTTCCAGGTGCATTATCAGAGAGCTGGATGGCCAGCATGGAGTAGCTGGGACTTAAATCAGGTACCTCACCTGGCAGCTTCCTTTGATGCACCAAACACTGGCCTGAAGCACTTCTTTTGTGCCAAGGTCAGGACCTGGGATGAGGATAGATGAGCAAGAGGGGCCCTTGCCAAGCTCTCCACCTGGGCCATGTCAGAGATGAGCCTCAGAGGCCGTCTTGTCAGCTGGGAACACCGCAGCTCAGGTGGAGGGCAAAGGATCCACCTATGGTCACACAATGACACAGCACTGGTCCTTCCAGCTTACCTTCTGGGCCCTGCTGGGTACTACGTGATAGCCCAGGTGATACAGAAATGTGGAGGTGCCAGAGAAGGGGAGGAGGGCAGCACTGGGACTTCTGGGGTGCAGGAATGGGGATGCTTGTAGAACAGGCAGGAGTTGGTGACTTCTTTTGTGCTGTCACTCCAGGTTAGGGGCCAGTAAACCTTGCTGTCTTTTCCCTATGTTTTCATGTGTCATGTGTTACATGGGAGGGCAGAGACCTCAGAAATCATCTTGCTCTAGCCCTGTCTCCCATGTCAGAAAGGAACAAAGGCCATGAAGAGGTAGGCCTGGCAGCAAATGCTGGAGCTTGGCTGTTTCTCCAGCGGCCAGTTCTGATGGAGGTGGGACTTACAGGGCTCTAGGGAGGGGGCAGGGGAGAGGTATCTGCAGAGATGTGCACTCTGTCCAGCTGGGCTTCCTAGCAATGGCCCCACTCCTGTGGAGGCAAACGCTGCTGTAAGCTGGAGCCACTCAGCAAAACTCCAGGTGTTGGTCAACAGGGATGTTGAACTTGAGCTTGTGGGCATCAAAGAGGTTGCACAGTTCCTTGAGGTATCGCTGGTGCAGCTGGTCCACTTCCTCCTCCGAGGGGTTCAGAGTCTTCTGCACCTCGATGGGCTTCCCCACTGCAGGGCACAAGGGTGGGCAGCAGTTCAGCAGGTAAGCTGCTGGGTGTGGGGGTCCCTACCTCCCTAAGCAAGGAGCTTGGAGTCCAGGAAGTAGATTCGCATGGGGCAGGTTGACTCCAGGCTGCATGGGTGCTCATCACTTTAGTCCTCACATGGTAATAACTCTTATGGGTCCTGTTTGATGGGTCAGGTGATGAGGCCAGAGAGGCTAAGAAACTCATCCAAAGCCACTCAGGTAGGGAGCACCAGTGCCAGGTCTTAAACCCCGGAGGGTGCTCTTCACCCACAGGTCACCTGGTTCTGGGAATCCAGGCCAAGCACAAATGCCTATGCTTCTAGGAGGAGGCAAGCTCACAGCCAGGCAGACTCTGTCATCCCCACCGCCCTGTGCTGGCCTGTAGGTCCCCGATGCCTCATCCTAGAAAACAATCAAGAAGGCCCCCAAGTATTCTTCTAGTTCTGCCTGGCCAGGCAGCTCCTTGCCCTCTCCTCTTGGGACAGCAAAAGTCTGCCACATGACACAGGGAAGGTCATGGCCTTGGGGGTTTACCCATTTGCGCTCATCTGGCAGGTCAGCAAGGGCTGGAGAGGAGACGTATGTGCCTCTCACTCCCAGCTGTGATGCAGGAACCTGGTGGGGACCCAAGACATGGAGCTGACATCCAGGGGGCTGGAAAGGCAGTGCCGAGCCTATGCATCCTTACAGCTCTCATCCACCTCTTGCCTGACAACACCCCCAGGCTCCGATTTCAAGCCCATGGCTTTCTGCTTTACACACGATCTAAAAGTGTCTCGGGAACTGTCCCCTGGGATCTGCCTTCTCCAAATGACCCTCCCCATTCAAAGAATTGGACCGCTATCTGGTATGATGAAGCGTCAGGGGCACCCAGATTCTAACCTCCTCCACTTGGTGCCTCCAAGGCAGAGAGATGTGTTGGAGGTTACTGAACTTCTCCATGCCTCACTTTACCAGCATTGAAATGCGGTTAGCCATGCCTACCTGAGTTATGGTTAGGCTAAACTGAGCTGCTTCATGGGAGGCAGCTAATGTCATTATACCTGACACACAGCAATGACTGGTCCTTGGAGCCTCCATTCCAGGTCCTGTGCCAGGCTCTGTGTGTGTGTCCTGGTCTCAGGTGTGGTTGGCCCATCCCCAAGTCCCCCTGTGGCACTCTGCTCAGGTCCTGTCCCCACACCCAGCCTGGGACCCAGCTCACCCACAGTGGTGACGGGCCTGCGGTAGGGCATGAGGCCAAAGCTGTACTGGAAGACACCTCGGCCATGGAAGAGGGGGAAGGAGACACCCATGATCTTGTGCAGCTGGTTCTGAATGCAGCGCAGCCAGGAGCCAGAGGAGTTCTCAACCTGGTCAAATAGGTCATTCTCGCCGAAGGAGAAGATGGGCACCAGGGCTGCCCTGGAGGGGAACAGAGAGCAGAGGGTGTGGGGGGAGACCCCTGAGAAAGTGCAAGCTGGGAAGTAGACTGGCCCCAGCAGGAAAGGACCAGGGACTGGGCCTGGTGACCAATGCCAGAGGCCTGGGGTGCCTCCCAGATCTGACCCAGGGGGCCAGCAGCACCTTCCCAGGACCACACCTCCCAAGCCCATCGGAACAGGTAGGCTGCCCTGCTATGGAGCATCCTCCAGGATAAAAAGCACCTGCTTCCTCTCTGCCCCCTTCAAAAAACCCTTCTTGCACCAGTTGGCTCTCATTCCTCAAAGCTGCTTCACCCCAAGGTGGGAGAACACCTTTGTCACAGACCCCCGGATGAATTCTTATCCCTCCAGCTCGCCTGGGTCTCTGGGGAATCTGTCCACTCTCCCCACCCACCCCAGGTCCCTTGAATCACTGTGTCCCCTTGTCTGAACTTCTCTGAGTGTGCACAGGAGGCACTGCTGCATGGTGGGCCTCTCCGTGCCCAGTGGAATCCTCCTCCACCCGCAGGGAACTCTCGACACTCTGCCCCCGCTGTCGTTCATACCCGTGAGCCAGGGCCAGCCTGATGAAGCCCTTGCGATTCCGCAGCAGCAGCTTGTAGGCTCCGGGCCGCGCGTCCAGGGCCTCCTGGGCACCCCCTACGATGATGGCCAGCAAGTTCCCGCCGCCCTTCCTGCTCAGAATATGATCGGCGCTGGTCTTTTCGGATGTCACCAGCCCTGGGGAAAGGGGACAAGTGTGTGCCCAAACCAGAAGCAGACCGCCATTCGCGGTCGTAAAGGCCGGCCCCTCACTACCACAGCTTGCTCCACCTGCTGCTCCCTGGCTCCTTCCCCTCTTGCCAGTCTTCCTGGGCGCTCAGTCCTGTAGGAGGTTTGCCCTGCATCTAGCCTCCTCCTACCGCTAGGCTCCTGGGAGGCAGACAGGGGCTGGACCCACCTCCCTTCCCTCCCGCAGCCCCAATGGGCCGACTCACCCCCGGACATGATGTAGTCCCTGAAGAATGGCGCCCGGAACCACAATGTTAGCATCATCAGGTGGGGGCGGAGGCCGGGGAAGAGCGAGGAGAAGCCGGTGCTCTCGGTGCACAGGTTGAGGAAGGCTCCCGCGGCCAGGACCCCGTGCGGGTGGAAGCCTGCGATGTAGTTCCGGGAGGGGTCCAGCTCCGCTGTCTTGATGAGCTGCGGAGTGGGTGGAAGGCTAGGTGAGCCGGAGTGACTCTGCTTACTGACCCCATGCCTGACCCTCACCCCCTGCCAGGCTGACACTGGCCAAGCCACTGTCCCTGTCTGAACCTCCCTGTGCCCAAGCACTCGGGGTTCTTAGGGAGGGTAAGACCCCGACGTGTAGTGGCACCTGAGGCCATGTGGCACTAGCTCTGGACACACTGCTCTTCTCTCAGGCTTCTCATCTGTGAAATGGAGCCATTCTCTGCCACCCCTCCCCAGGGAAGCTGGAGAAGCTCTAACGTTTGGGGCTTGCTTGGCAGCACAGAAGGCGAAGCTGGCACAAGCAAGGGCCACACCTGGTGTGACGGGGGGTCGGAGGAGTGGACCTGTCCAGTCAGTGCTTGTGTCACTGACACAGTTCCAGACCTGGGAAGTGTCAGGAGCAGTCCCCACTGGGGGCATCCATAAAAATAAGAATGTGGACTCCCTGCATTCTTCATAGCAGACCATGCCACACCCACAGTGCCTGGACCATGCTACACCCACAGTGCCTGGTGTCCACTCTTCCCCTGGTTGGTACAGAGTAGGAAGGAGAGACCCCTGGGCCACGCAGGTTCTCCGTGAGCTAAAGCAGAGGTGGCAGGTAGTGCTGGCAGCAGAGATGACCACTGCTGCTCCTGCTGCTGGACTGGCGGTCACTATCCTACAATGTGTTGTGTGTGTACACCTGTGTGTGTGTTTACAGGAAGTCCCTTCCAACCTCCTGCCATCACAGCCAATGTATGGGAAGGCTTCGATCTGCTCCCTGGTCCTGGCAGTTAGCTGCCCCCTGCGTGGCCCTGGGTGAGGTCAGAGGGCTGTCTTGCTGTGCCCCATGAGGGGGCATGTTGCAGGCAGCATTTTTACAGCCCTAGCCACAGCACTAGGTCCCTCCTATAGGCCTTGGGCCTGAGTGGCTACATATGCTCCAGACAATGACAGGATCACTGTGGGGGATTCCCAGCTCCTGAAGGGGGAGAGGGCTTCAGTGTAAAGTGGCCACAGCTCCCCCTCAGCAAAGAACATAGCCTAAATCTCCACCAGAACCCCTTTGGGGTGCCAATAGCATGACTTATGGAAGTCCCAAGGCCTAGAAACAACTGCCTGATTTTGCTTGAATTCCCCTGCTAGCTCATTGTCTGGAAGATCATCAGAAGGCCATATGCATGTGACCGTGGTGTGCGGAGGCTTCCAAATGCAGGCAAGCTCACCAGAGCTGGGAATTGTCACCCAAGATCGCTGTAGGGCGTAAGTCTGCAGACTTCCAGCCTGGGATTGGCCAAGCCAACGTGCACGGTATCCCGCCCTCTGCTGGTCACTCGTTAGTACTGCCCATCCTCTATAGGTGATGTGGAAACCTGGACTTTGACAACCCCGAAAAAAACATGCATATCTGATTTCTGCCAATAGGGGATGCTGTGACACCTGCATAGCACGTGGGAGTGCCTGGGTTTGAGTTCCAGCTACTCTGCTACTGATGCAGCTTCCTGCTAATACACCTTCTGGGAGGCAGAAGACAATGGCTGAAGTGCTTGGGCCCCTGCTGCCACCCACGCAGGAGACCAGGATGGAGTTCCAGGCTCCTGGCTTCAGTGGCTGGAAGACTGGAAGATTCTCCCTCTCTGCCATTTAAAATAAAGCCCAGTGTCAACAGTGTCATGACTGAGGAAATGCCCTTGGAACCCAAGGGCAGCGGATCAGAGAGGTTCAGAGCTGACCCAGTGCCGTTTCTGCCCGTCCTGAAGCTGAACACAACCCAGTGAACAGGGGGTAGGTGTTGCCAAGATCCCTAAGCTGCTAGGAAGACTCTCCCTGGCCAAGTTCCAAGGAATAGGCTCCGAGGCCTCTGCTGGCTGGCCTGTACGCTCCAGCCCCATCCACTGGTGTGCCTTCAGCCTTCATCACCCTGCGCAGCACGTGGCTGATCAGCAGCCACCCCGTGCCTGAGCTGCCTCTGTCCTTCTGCCGGACAGGTCGCCCTTCTTCCCCCTGGGGAACTCAGGGCACAGGGAGCAGAGTCAGGACCCTACTCAAGGCTCAGCCCCTGATGTCACTCACTCCCCAGGATACTGTGGCCCTCCTGGCACAGAGGAAGGAATGATCCCCAGGTACAGTGGGCTGAGCGGCTGCCTACATTGCCAACAACCTAAACAGGTGCCGATTCAACTCCTGACTGCCCCACTTCAGATCCAACTCCCTGCCAATGCACCTAGAAGAGCAGCAGGAGATGGCACAAGTGCTTGAGCCCCTGTCACCCATGGGAGAGATCTGAATGAAGCTCCTAGTGTGAGAGACGCTGATGAAGCTCCTAGCTCCTGGTTCCAGCTTAGTCCAACCCCCAGCTATTGTAGACATTTGGAGAGTGAGCCAGTAGATAGAAAATCTCTCTTCTCTCTCTCTCTCTCTCTCTCTCTCTCTCTCTCTCTCTCTCTCTCTCTCCCTCCCTCCCTCCATCCCTCCTTGGTCACTCTGCCTTTCAAGTAAATGAAATAACTCTTTGGGAGAAGATAAAAGAGGAATCCCAGGTTGGAGAGAGGACAGGTAAGAAAAGGAGTTTGGAATCTCCAAATCAGAGGCCCTGGGAGAAGGACCTGAGAGAGCCCTGCAGGGGAAGCACAGATGGGGGCTGGCACCCCCTCTCCTCACCCACCCAGGCCTCTGCTAGCACTCTGCCCTTCAACACCTCCTTCCCTGTAAGGGCACGCCTCCTCTAGCCAACTTCTGCCCTCTGCCCTCTGCCCTGCCCCACCTACTCTTGCCCTTTGTCCAAGAAGCCCTGCTCCCTAGGGTGCTGGGGGGCAACTGGACTGCAGCCCTTGCCCAGCTGTGTTAGTTCTTGTGGGGCTGTATGACTGTCAGGTAGAAGCCGGCTAGGAACCCCGAGGATTCCAGACTCTGCCTCCCAGGTCCTGTAGGGGCCAGAGGAGGTGGGGCCCGTGGCTGGGCCCCTGGCCCTGCTGCACCAACTGCTGACTCAGTGAGAAGGAGCAGAGTCACCTCCAGGTAACAGAGAACCGGCGAGGTGCTTGACCTCTGTGTGTGCCAGAGTCCACACAGCCCAGGGAGGTCTGTGGCTGCAGCACCACCTCATGTGAGGAAACCAGGGCACAGAGGGATGGGAAGAGGGGACTCCCCCAAGCTCCCACACCCAAGGCGGGAATCCAGCCCTTGCAGTTCTAGAGGACCTTCTCCTCCCAGAGCAGACTCAGCCCAGTCACTCTCCCATCGTCACTGCTCTCCCCACCCCATCCCATCGGGACAGCTGGCTGCGTGGTCAAAAGTTCAGTCTCTGGGGGAAGGTGAAAGAGCTGAAGGGTCTGCTCGCTCAGATTCGGGGACCTGCTACAATCAGGCCCAATCTCAAGTCCAGGGTCTGCTGTGGAAAAGGACCATGTGGTGTCCTGAGCCAGACAGTGAACAGCGCTAAGGGTTACCGAAATCCACAAACTTTCAAACTTCCAGGGACTGGCACTGTGGTGCAGTGGGTAAGGTTGCTGCATGCAGTACCAGCATCCCATATGAGTACTGGGTCACATCCCAACTGCCTCACTTTGGGTCTAGCTCCCTGCTGATGTGCCTGAGAGAACAGTAGAGGATGGCCCAAGTGCTTGGGCTTCTGTACCCACATGGGAAACCAGAATGAAGCTCTGGTTCCTGGCAATGGACCAGCCCAGCTCCTGCCATTATGGCCGTTTGGGGAGTAAACAAGCAGATGGAAGCAGTTTTTCTCTGTATCTCTGCCTTTCAAATAGATACAGTTACACAATGTTTAACTTTAATATGTGCCACAAAGCTCCTCCCAAGCCTTTGTAGTCGGTTCTTATGCACTCCTGCAGATGGTCAGCCAAGGCCAGAGAAGTCCATTGGTTCCCCCAGGCCACACAGAAGTAGAGCCCAGGCTCCCCTCTCCCACTGTGCCCACCACAGCCCAGCCAGCCACCGCACTCACAGAAACGGGGAAATAGTCCTTCATGTACTTCCAGATCGCCCAGCGGCGGAAGGCCTCGATACGTCTGCCCCCTTGCCGCGGCGTGTCCCGATCCAGGTACCACCAGGTAGCGTAGAGGATGGCCAACAACCAGAATCTTGTGAACAGGAGGCTGATGAAGACCATGAAGCAGATCTGGGCTGGGCAGGGCAGCAGGACCATCAGAGAAGGGAGGGGATACTGCCAGCCCGTCCTGCCTGGCCCCCAACCCTGGGAGGAAGGGATGAGCTTTCTGTGCTCGCACGGGGGAGGTTGGAGTGCCAAGGGGGATGTAGCACAGCTCCCTGGTCCTCCTCCAACACCCAGTGTGCAGCGGTCTGCGTTCACCAAGTGCACGATGCATAGTGACAATGAACTTTGTTTTTCAAAGTCTCAAAGGGAGACCTCTTCCTGCCCATTAATATTCACTTTATAAGCAGCACCTGCAGAGTCCCAGGCACTTAGTAGCTGTGACAGACAGACAGATCCCTGTCTGTGTGGAGTCAGCTACCCCAGTGCTGTGCTGGGCGCTTTGTGGGTTTTATCTTTCAAACAAGTTTTTAAAAATGAAGAGAGGGAGAGAAACAGACACACACACACACACACACACACACACACGCACACACACAGAGCTACCGTTCTCAGGTCACTCCCCAGATGCCCACCACAGCCGGAACTGGGCCAGGCAGAAGCAGGAGTCAGGACCTCCACCTTGGTCTTGCATGTCAGTGCCATAGACCCAGTTCCTGGGACCCTCCTGTCTTGCCTCCTGCAGTGTGCATTCGCAAGAGCTGGGATGGGGAGAAGAGCCAAGGCTTGAGCCCCAGACACTGGCATACAGGCCGTGGGTATCTGAAGCAAGATATTCATTTATTTATTTATAAATGGAGGGAAGGAGAGAGAAAGAGAGAGAGAGAGAGAGATGGGGGGAAGGGAGAGAGAGAGAAAGAGAGAGAGAGAGAGAGAGAGAGAGAAAGAGAGAGAGAGAGAGAGAGAGAGAGAGAGAGATTCTCTGTCTACTGGTCTACCCCCCAAGTAACCACAATGGCTGGAGCTGAGCCGATCTGAAGCTAAGGAGTCAAAGGCTTCCTCCGGGTCTCCCACATGCCCACATGAGCATAGGGTCCAAGGCCCTGGGCCATCCTCCACTGTCCTCCCAGGGAGCCAAACAGGAAGCAGAGCAGCTGGGACACGAAGCAGTGCCCACATGGGATCCCAGCGTGCATGAAGCAAGGACCCAGGCACTGAGCCATTGTGCAGGACCCAGAAGCAGGATCTTCAGACACCCCACCCATCAGGCCCTGGCAGCCATTCTTCTAGTTCGTCCATGACTCTCACTGCTCCAGATACCTCATATAACTGGGCTCACACAGTCTCCCTCCTGCTGTGACTGGCTTATTCCACTCCCAGCATGCAGTTTCCAGTGCATGTGGGTCAGCATTTCTTCCGGGCAGGTGTTGTGGCTCAGTGAGCTAAGCATCTACTTGGGACATCCATGTTCCTATTTGTCTGAGATCAAGTCCTGCCTCTTGTTTCTGATCCAGCTTGCTGCCAAGGCTGCTCTTGGCCCCAGCCCTCAGGCCTGGAGACTTCTGGTTCCTAGGGCTTTACTCTTGTTCAGCCCTAGCTGTTGCAGACATTTGGGGAGTGAAGTGGGTAGAAGATCTCTCTCTCTCTCTCTCTCTGTTGCTCTGACTTTCAAATAAATAAACTTTTTAAAAAATTCCCTCCTTGCGAAGCTGCGTGGCTTTCCTCTGTGGGTGGAAGCCACAAGTGCATGTGTAGTTTACTTCTACCTATCATGTTTTCACGTACTACTGCATCAGTGACTCACAGTGAAAACTAGGGAGGTCTCAGGTACAAACACAGACCCCTGATTTGCCTAGGAAGCTGGAAGAAGTGTCCCTTGGCTGTGCAGGCAGCTGCTTCCCACCTGCCCTCTGCCCCACCCAGGTCTGCAGCTTAGGCCCCGTCCTTCCCTGCACTTCTTGTCAGCCTGCCAGCAGCCCTGCTAGTGCCTTCAAGGGCTAGAATAAACCAGCAATGGACCACCTGCCCATGCTTGGTTCTCTGCATGTATCTTAAACATTGTATGACAGGCTTCAAGGAGAATGTTAGAAAGGTTTGGGGACAAGAATGTCTTATACTCATGGTTGCACAGCTGTGGGGAATGGCAGGGTTCCTGCCAATTTTAGAGAAGGAGCTAGGAGCCCAAGGAACTGGGAGGGAGAGGTATTGCTTATTTGTTTACATTAAGCATTCTTTCTTTTTAAAAGATTTATTTATTTTTATTGCAAAGTTGGATTTACAGGGAGAGACAGGACAATCTTCCATCAACTGATTTATTCCCCAAGTGGCCACATCTGCTGGAGCTGAGCTGATCCAAAATTTGGAGCCAGGATCTTCTTCCAGGTCTCCCATGTGGGTGCAGGGTCCTGAGGCTTTGGACCATCCTCTACTGCTTTCCCAGGTCACAAGCAGGGAGCTGGATGGGAAGTGGAACAGCTGGGATAGGAACCAGCGCCCATATGGGATCCTGGCGCATGCAAGGCACTAAGCTATCATGCCGGGCCCTACATTAAGCATTCTTACATTAAGTGATCAGCACCCCAACTGGGTCTCTCTCCCCTTGGATAAGAGTAATAGTTATTGCAGGTAGCTCCCAAATTAAGAAAATTATCTCTAGGGAATAAAAACAAATTTCTAATAGTGGCCCTCAAGAAGTGGGATTAGAGACCGGCACTGGTGGCATAGTTGGCCAAGCTATAGCCTGTAAAGCCGATATGCTGTATGAGCTCTGGTTTGAGCCCTGGCTGCTCTGTTTTTGATCCAGCTCTCTGCTAATACACCTGGGAAAGCAGTAGAAGGTGACATAAATGATTGAGTCCCTGGATGCACATGTGAGACCTGGGTGAAGTTCCTGGCTCTGGCTTGGCCCAGCTCCTGCCACTGCGGTCATTTGGCGAGTGAACCAGTGGATGGAAGATATCTGTGTGAATGTGTGTCTTCACCCACCCCTGTCCCTTTGGAACTCTGCATTTCAAATAAATAAACCTTGAAAATAAAAACCCTTAAGGGGCAGGTGTTGCGTGCATCAAGTTAAGCTGCCGCTTGTGACAACAGCATCCCAAGTCAAAGTGCCCATGGGAGTCCCAGTTGCTCTGCTTCCAATGCATTTCCTGCCATGCTCCTGGGAAAGCAGCAGAAGACGGTCCACGTGCTTGGGCCCCTGCCACCCATCCACGTGGAGGACTTGGACAGAGTTCCAGGTTCCCGACTTGAGCATGGTCTAGTCTCAACCACTGCGACATTTGGGAGAATAAACCACAGAATGGAAGATCTCTCTCCCCTGTTTCCCAACTCTGCCACTCAAACAAATAAGATAAATATATTTTAAAGTATCAGATAAATAAAAGATTAAAAACATTCTGAGCTCCTGAATTATACAGACATCATCAGTGTACTGGATTTGGCCTGTGAGCCTTAATTTGCTGATTCCTGTCCTAAATTGTGACTCTCCCCCACTACCTGTCATTCCACACCCCAATTACAGCAGACCCCTGACCCTTCCAGGGGCCCTTCCATGCAGAGTGGACCTTGTCACTCCCCTCCGGGAGCCTCCAGTGGCTCCCCTTTGCCCTCAGGATAAGGCACCTCTTAATCCCTCTCCCTCTGGTCCTTCCGGTCTGGGAAAGCTTTGACCTCTGTGCCCTAGCTAAGCAGGTGTCCCAGTCCAGACACATTCTTGCCCTCAAAAATGTCAGCAGGCAGGCTGAGGGTGATATTTCTCAGCCTCTGTGACCTGCTGGCCATAGTGTGCAGGACTGAGGGCCTCTGGAGCTCACCCTGAGGCGGTCAGTGGCCCCCTAACACCTTCTTGCCTCTGCCTGCTGTGTGCCACCCTTCCTCCCAACACACAGCTTTTTAAAATGCCACCTTGTGGAAGGCTGGAATGAACTCCTTCTAAGAGCAGATGAGAAGACAGACCCTGCCCTCCTGCGTGAGCCTTGCTCACAGCCCAGGCTAGGCCAAAAGTAATCCCATTGCTTCATCTCATCCATTATGACCCCTCATGCTGCTGATGAGAGGTCAGGCACGGGTGGACCCAGCCTCACCAGGAGGCATGCACACAGTCTCAGGTTACACTCCGGCTACTTCTTCTCCCACCTCTCGCCTCCTGCCTTCATTCCCTGGCTCCTACATAACCTATCTGTTGGGACGCAGGGTGCTGAGTGCACTTGATGTGGCTGCTCCGCCCCTCCCCCCATGTCCAGGGCCTCTCCCCCTCCCCACTCCCTGTTGTCTGCCTTACCCAAGGCCAGGAAGGAGAAGACCCACTGGAGCACCGCGAAGGTCTGCAGCCTGCGTTCCCACGGCACAAACAAGGGTGCCAACTCCACCATGGCGTCCGTCTGTCTCTCCCCACGTTCCTCACCACTGTGTGCCGAGATCCCCACAGGGCTGTAGGCCTGCTCAAGCTGGCTGTGAGGGGGCCCGAACTCAGCCTAGCCCAGCACCAAGGCCTCCCTGCCCCAGCCCAGGCAGGGCTCCACTTCCCACAAGGAACCTTTGATTTGCCCCAGCCCCACAGAAGGAAGAAGGAGGGGAGAGAGCTAGTAGCCTTTATCAGCTTTGCTTGCGGCAGCACCTTATCTGCCTCATTCTGATTGCTCTACTGCCTCTCTGATTGCTCTCGGCTTGCCCTTCCAGCAGCTTGAGAGGCCACACTGCATTCCTAACCTGCTCCCACCAGCCCCAGGACCCAGCTCCAACTCTGTTCCTTCTTTCTCTCTCTTGCCACACCCACTCTCTTCCCTCTCTGCAAATAAGCTGGTATGGCTCCCATCCTATCTGACAATCCCTGACCCCACCACCACTTCCTGTCCCACATCTGCTCAGTAAAGCTCCACGAACTCCCTGCATCCCACACCGTCTGGTTTTCCCCTGCCATCTGTCCTCCACACTTTAGATGCCACCGCCCTGCAAAACTGGCTTTGCTTAGTTCACCAATGATGTCTCTGTGTTGCTGGATCCAAGGCCCGGGCCTCAGCACCAACTCCGGAGCCATCAGCAGTCCGAGCGAGGGCTGCTCTCTCCTTCCTGGCCACTGTGTGCCACATGCCCCTGGCTTTCTCCCCCAGTTCCCGTGCTGCTCTTTCCTGTCCTCACTTGCACTCTTTGCCTTGACCAGACGGCCTGAGCCAGTCCCCACGCCCCAGCCTTCAGTATCGCTGCCCTCCACACACATCCTCTGCCGATCCCATCCAGGCCAGTGACCTTGTAGTCCAGCTGCATAGCTGGGACTCCAGTCTGCCGAGCCAGCTTAGATTTCTCCCTGGGGCTCTGAACTTGACTGTGGAGGTAGCCGCTTGACTTCTGCCCTTGAAGGCTGATGGCCACCCCATCACAGCACATTCAAAACTGACTCTGATTTGTCCTCTAGTGCCCCTGCCGGCTCGTTCTCTGCTCTTTCCCATCTCAATAAACGACAACATTGTTAATCCTGCAGCTCAGGCCAAAACCCAAGTCCCATGAGATCACTTCTGTTCCTCTCCATCCACACCCACCAGTTACCATGCCCCACTGGCTCTTCTGAAATCTCTCCGTCTAAATGCAAACTTGGAGCCCTGGAGGATCAAACACGGGGTTGTGCAGGGTTGTGTTTTTCACACAGAGGATACTCCAGTGGTATGGCCACGTGGATCACCAAGCAGAACAGCACCAGCACCCAGTGTCCTTGCCAGTCACTGCCCTCCTCTTCCCAGTAAGTCAACTCCTTGTAATTGGTCTTAATTAGGGATCCATGAAGTGTGTACTCCTTTGGAATTGGCCTCCTCCTCATGATCCTGTCTTTGAGCACCTTCCCTTTGTTGTGGTCTTAGGCAGCTAGTTCCAGGTCACAAGCCATGCCTCCTCCGCCCACATAATCCAAATGAAGCCCACCTGCCATCACCTGGAACCTGAGAGGGGGCAGTGTTGCACTGGTGTGTAATCACTCCTCTCACAAGCCCTCATAAAAGCCCAAGACAGGGAGGGACACTCTCTTGGTATCCTGCCTCCACTGCTCTCACATTCTGTCTCTTGGCTTCCCCAGCACCTGCTTGCTCTTTGGCTTCCCATGGACAGACTCCAAGGACAGGTAACCCCCGAACATGGCCCCTGTATGTCTGTATGCCTCACCCTCTGTTCACTACTTGGGCAGGACAGTTAATGCTAAGATGCCTTGGCTTTTTAATTTGGGTACTTCCAAGAGTTCTAGGGGAGATAAAACCTATTAATAATGGGATGTGGACAGAGGAGCCAGGAAAAGGTGAATGTTTGCAGGTTTGTAAATGTGCCCAGGTTGTTCACTGCATGCCTCTTAAGATAACTTATATTGCTAGGGAAGCTGGGACATAAGTATTCAGTTGAACAGACGAGTTTCATGGCAATGACCACTTGTTCTCTTAGGGTTTTGATTCGTGCTGAACTGCCACGTGGACTTGTCATTTGCTAGTTATCTAGTGGGCCCTGCCATCACCAAGATGGTTAATAACACATCCTCTACTTGTCGGGTGTGATCTCTCTTGCACCCCACAACGCCTTCACCGGAAGTCAGCAGACTTCAACTTCCTCGCCACTGAGGGCAGCGTGTGAGTCGCTCATCCTTTCGGGCGATCATAAACTGTGCTGCTAAAGAGCATTCTCAGATGCCGGAGGCCAGTCCCAGCTGAGTTTGGAGCTCGACAAGGGTGTGTGGAGTCCGCAATAAGGAAAGACAACGCCAGTGACACTTGATGCCCTCTTGTAACAGCTCAAGAAACTGTCCTTTTAATTTACTCAGACACATTTCAAGCCTCTGCACAAACGTTTGATTTTTCTATTTTTACTTCATGACTAAGTGGATATGCACAGATGTTTGATTATCTTAGTTTTTACTTCATGGCCAACTAGGTGATCTTAAAGATAATTCTATAATTTTCTTCAAAACAAGCCATTGTTCATTTTTCAGTAGTAGCCAGTGCGTGACAGCCAGGACTCCAAGGCCAAGGCACATGTGATTACCTGTTAATCAGTAATACATTCCTACTACATTTCTATTTCTACAACTTGCCCATCATTTAATGGGAGAAATATGTCAAAATGGGAAAAACATCAAAATCCAAGACAAAAGTTTCAAACATTAAATCCTCCTACAGGCTCTACAACCTCATAAACAGTCAAATAATAATCAAAAGCGTACCTCTATGATATCAATACACCCTATAATTCCTCTAGTCAAAAAATCACACAAGTGGCTAAAATAGCTACACTTTCTATGCTCCAAAGAGTTGCAAGGACAGGCTAACCTTTAGGGTCACAGTAACTATTTTTATCGCCAAAGCATTTTCATCTCATACTCCCATCATTTTCATTAATTTTTAGGATATTTATCAAGCCATTTCCCAGAAGGCGTGCCACATATCTGAGCCGATTCTGGGCCAATGGGTAGGCACACAATAAAGTGTCCAGAAATAGCATGGGCTTAATGGTACTCTTGTGTGCAAATTGTGAAAGACCCACTCACCAAGACATTGTCAGCAACATTAACTCCCAAACTCACATTGGTTGCAAAAGCCATCTGACAGGGGCGAACAGCAATGCCTCAATAGATTACAGAATTCTTAGTGGGGTGGTTGAGTGTCCACGCAAAAGGGGGTGAGACTGCGTCAAGGTGGTCAGAGAGACATCTGCCGGGCCTTGCCAAACACCTTGAAGCTCCTCTGGGTCTTGTCAAACAGGGGAGCTGTTCTCTTCACAGCTTTGTGTCATCCACACCCTCTGAGACACACTCAGATGGGTCTTTGAGGGCACATTTGCTGGGGACACGGCTTGACATGGAACGGCTGCTTCTTACAGTCAGATGACAGATTGTCTTCCAGAGTAGTTGCGTGCACTCACACACCCCCCTAGCGCATTTGAGCAATCAGGCTCTCGGTGTTGGCCACACTGCAGTTGATTTACTGAGAGCACGGTGGTCCTTGCTGATGCTCACAGGCCTTAGCTAATGACTTGTAAGCTTGAGCCATTTTAGTGGATCTGTCAGCCACTGGGATATCATTTCTCACAAAGTTTTCCTTCCTATCTTTATTTGAATTAAGCACCTCTTGAATTTGAACAGCTACTTTCTGCCACCACAGCCAGCCCCTTGGGTAGTCTGTAGCTCCCCCTTTCCTTGCTGGTCTCTTTCTCTATCATTCTCTTGCCCATCACAGTCCCATCACAGCCAGAGAGACTGCTGGGTCTCAGACTATGGGAACTTTTTCCCAGGATAATCACATCAGTGGTTACTGCCCCCAGGAATCAGTGCGCCACCCCATGGGTCCTTATCCTCCCGACGTTTGCAGTGGTCAGGTTTCTTCTCTGCCAGGGGAGTGAAGGGCTCTCTGAGTCTGGTCTTTTATTTATTTAAGATTTATTTATTTCTACTGAAAAGTCAGATATATATAGAGAAGGAGAGACAGAGATGAAGATCTTCCATCCGCTAATTCACTCCCCAAGTGGCCACAAAAGCTGAAGCTAAGTTGATCTGAAGCTAGGAGCCAGGAACGTCTTTCAGGTCTCCCATGCAGGTGCAGGGTCCCAGGACTTTGGGCCATCCCCTACTGCTTTCCCAGGACACAAGCAGGGAGCTGAATGGGAAGTGGAGCAGCTGGGACACGAACTAGCATCTGTATGGGATCCCAGCACTTGCAAGGGGATTAGCTTGTTGAGTCATTGTGCCAGGCCCTTTAGCTCTTGACCAGCATTGCCTGATAACTAGCCTCGGTAACAGCTTCCCTGGTCCTTTCAGCCTTCGGAGTGGCAGGACCTCCTGCCCTTTGAGCCCCATTTCTGTGCTCCAGGACCCACCTGCTCCAGTGGCCTCTTGCCTTTACCAAAAGACAAAGGGGACCTTTTCTTTTTTCTTTTTTTTTTCATGCCCATCACCTCCCATCATTATCTCCATTTGTTTGGTTTATTTATTTATTTATTTATTTATTTTAATTTTTATTGGAAAGTCAGATACACAGAGAGGAGGAGAGACAAAGAGAAATATCTTTCGTCCGATTCACTCCCTAAATGAGAGCAACGGCTGGTGCTATGCCGATCTGAAGCCAGGAGCCAGGAACTTCTTCCAGGTCTCCCACACGGGTGCAGAGTCCCAAGGCCCTGGGCTGTCCTCGACTGCTTTTCCCAGGCAGGGAGCTAGATGGGAAGCAGAGCTGTTGGGATTAGAACCGGTGCCCATATGGAATCCGGGAGCATTCAAGGTGAGGATTTTAGCTGCTAGGCCGCCGGGCGCCAGGACCTTTTCTTGAGAGTTTGTTGTGAAGGGCCCAGGAGTTCTGTCTCTGCTCCAGGATTCCTGCTGGGCACAGAACTGAACTGTGCTGTGGTTTTC